TAATTATGTTTAACTTCAAAACGTTTAATTTTCAAAAGACCCATTTTTTCAATCGCTTATAACTCGAAAATTATTGACTTTTCAACATTTTTGCTAAGGAAAAATCGTCTCCAATTTGTCCAGGAAATCTGCCCTTAATCATTGGTCCGTTAGTTATCGGACACCCTGTATATATGTATATATTTGTGTGTATGTCAGCACTTGTGTTTAATAGTTGTCTTAATTAAACATATTCAAATTTCGTGCAATTAATCATATAAATTATGCATCATTTATAAATTTATATCATTTATTCCGAAAAACATGAAAGCAATCTTTCTAGCTCTCTGTATCTAATAGTAAAATTAAAGAAACAAAATGCCGCATTTTTAAGCGCTAAAATTTTTACAATTAGCGGATAGAAGCAAGTATTGTAATGTTGAGTAAGTATGTAATACATTTAGAATAACAAAAGTGCCGTTACTTTCAGGAGCTCATTCAACCTTTTAATATGTAATTAAAAATTTTTCGGTAGTGGAAATACGCGTTGATAAATAATCGGCGATGTTCGTGCGCGATATTCGCGATTTCTTCGCCGAATGTTCAGTGAAAGATAAAATATAGTGAAGTGTAGTGGTCAATTCTGGAATAAGTGAAATATAAAATATAGTGAAGTAAACAATTTTGAAATATAAAATATAGTGAAATTCGAAAATATCAGTGGCTTCTGAGTGCGTCGCGAGGACGCCATCGTCGTTCGACAAGGCCCTCCGATAAGAGGATCTTGAAAAAAGTGGTGACGTGAAAACGGAACATCGGTTTTATTCCCGCGTGAATAAGCGTTCATATATTCTCGCGTATCGAAACGCGTCGAAAATGTGCTACTTAAAACCCGGGCGTCGCCACAAGTAGCAGACGAAAAAAAAGTAACGCGAATGTTTCAAAGTGTTTTTACGAGGATATAGTTCCCGGACGCAGAGGTTGGTCTTCTACAGGAAAAATGGATATGGTACCGGCGAACAATCCGGAGTACACCGAGACAGGAGAAGAAGAATCGTGGAAATGTGAATCAAAATATTTATTTCATTATTTATATTGATAAAGCGGTAGAAATATAAGTATTGATTGAATTTCGTGTCAGAATAAACTTGATATAGCACGTTGCAGTCGCTTTTAAGCATTGAATAGTATATTAGCTAACAAGTTCGGGGATAAATCGGCTGTGGAAGTTTGGAGCACGAGGCGAAGCCGAGTGTGACAATCCGCACGATCGGCCGATTTATGACCCGCACATGTTGGCTACGATATTTTGTGACCGGTGCGTGGAAAAGGAGCCCTTTCTAAAATCCCATCATGTGCATATAAAGGGCGACTTTTTGCGCGCCGGTTGCACAAAATAAGTAAATACCATTTTTAAAAAATAAGTAAAATACCATTTCTTCGAGTTAAATATATCACATTAAACAAACTTTAAATATAATCAGGTTAGTAAACATAAGAATATATCCGTAAATCTTTTTTGTTTTATTGTCATTACATATGTATTTACAATATTGATATCATCTTTTGCGTCTAGAATTAAATTGGAATTGAAATAAAAGATATATATTTATTTATTATATATATATATACAGGGTGTCTTATAATTCGCGAACCACCGCGAATGGGCAGATAGAGCGTGTTAAACTGAACAGAAAAGTCCTGTATCATTTTGCGATATTCATAATAATTATTGAGTTATTTATTAAAATATCTAAACGAATAAGCAGATAGAAAGCATTATTTGATCGAGAGGCGGCGTCATGCAGCGAGCGGCGACCAATGTAGTGGCGCCGAAAAGTAAGATGATACTTTTGATACTAAGCGGTACATGTACACCGAGTCCGCGGCCTACCGCTTTCTACCCGCTCATTCGTTTAGATATTTTAGTTAATAACTCAATAATTATTTCGAATATTGCAAAATGATACAGAACTTTTCTATTCAGTTTAACACGTTCTATCTGCTCATTCGCGGTGGTTCGCGAATTATGGGACACCCTGTATATATATATACAGGGTGGGCCATTTTAAAAAATACGATCAATTTTCTCGTAAATTAAGCGAAATATCGAAAATGGTTCAGACATGTGTTGTATGGTTTCGAAGGGGCTATAAGATGGTGCCATTGGTTTGACCTTGGATATTCATTTAAAGATCACGCGAAGGTCACCTCAATTTTTTTAAATGGCATTTTTTATTTTTTATTACATATTCTTGTAGCTGACCTCGAAAGCTTTTCAAAACACTTAGTCAAATGTTTTTCCATTGCGTACTTTTCGAGTTATAAAGCTCGAAAGTTACTACATTTTGATAAAAATACAAAATATATATATATATATATATATATATTTCTTAAAATATTCATTTTCCGATAGTCTTATTTTACATGCTCCGACCAATCAGGGCAAAGTCCAAGCATAATCCAGCTAGTCAAGACAAGATCCGGACACGATTCAGCCAGTCAAAACAAGATACGAACACGATCCATCTAGTAAAGGCAAGATATGAACACGATCCATTCAGTAAAGGCAAGATACGAACACGATCTAGCCAGTCAAGGCAAGATACGAACACGGATCCAGCCAGTCAAGGCAAGATAAGAACACGGATCCAATCAGTCAAGGCAAGATCTGGACACGATCCATCCAGTAAAAGCAAGATACAAACACGATCCAGCCAGTCAAGGCAAGATACGAACACGATCCAGCCAGTTAAGGCAAAATACGAACACGATCCATCCAGTAAAAGCAAGATACTAACACGATCCAGCCAGTCAAGGCAAGATACGAACACGGATCCAGCCAGTCAAGGTAAGATCCGGACACGAACCAGCCAGTCAAGGCAAGATACGAACACAATCCAGCCAGTCAAGGCAAGATACTAACACGGATCCAGCCAGTTAAGGCAAGATCCGGACATGATCCAGCCAGTCAAGGCAAGATACGAACACGATCCAGCCAGTCAAGGCAAGATGCGAACACGATCTAGCCAGTTAAGGCAAGATACGAACACGATCCAGCCAGTCAAGGCAAGATACGAACACGGATCCAGCCAGTCAAGGTAAGATCCGGACACGATCCAGCTAGTCAAGGCAAGATACGAACACGATCCAGCCAGTCAAGGCAAGATATGAACACGGATCCAGCAAGTCAAGGCAAGATCTGGACACGATCCAGCCAGTCAAGGCAAGATACGAACATGATCCAGCCAGTCAAAGCAAGATCGTTGATGGTTCTGTCAACTAAAGTTAGATCAAGAAGAATCCTGCCACCGAAGGCAAAATCGAGAATGATCCAGTCAAAAAAAATTTATCAAATCAATTGTTCGAAGTTGTCTCCATTGGCTTGGATACATAATGCCAACCTATCTTGGAAATAACTTACTATCTTGAGTAACATATTGTGCGTTATCCTTCTGCAAGCTTCTCGTATCCTTTCTATCATATTTTCTCAAATACAATCGAATTTTTAAAAATATCGAATTTAATGTTGTTCATAATATTCCTAAAAAACCGAATGATTTTTTTAATTACACTCGGTAAGGATAGACTGCCTACAGATAAAAAAACTGAAGTAGTTTACAAAATTAATTGTAATAATTGCAACGTGTCATACATTGAACAAACAAAGAGACATATATGTACACGTGTAAAGGAACATTTCAGCAACATCAAAATGCATTTAAGTAATTTATCAGTTATCAGCAAACATAAAATTGAATTCGATCACAATTTTGACTGGACTTTGCCTGTTATTTTGCACAATGAAAAACACGTAAGAAAGAGAGAAATCGCTGAAATGTTTTTTATTAAAAAAAATAATAACGCTATTAATTTACAAAAGGATACCGACAATCTAAGTAATATCTACGACAAAATAATAAAGGTCGTTTAGTCTCAAATAACTCGTCTAAGAGTCTTGACGTGTTTTCAAACCGACACTATGTTCGTTTTTGACATCTTAGAATTATAATTTTATTTTTAATTTTACAAGTATGTTTCGCTTTTTTTATCATTTTGTAATATTGTTAGTGAAATAATTTTGTTTTTTATTGTATTAATCTCTGTCTATGTATATCTAGATCACTTGATAAGGACTCAAAGAAGGGTCGAAACGTTGTAATTGAATAAATAATATTTGCCAGTACGGTCGAGAAAAGATTCTTATCTATATTTATTACCATTTATCATTGTAGAAACGTTGTAGAAATTATGACATATTTAATTTGGTAATAACGTTCCAAAAAACATTAACTCTCGATATCTATTAGAAGTAAAATAAATTAAACAAGCATACACAATTTTTTTAGAATATAACAAATTAAAAAATGTTTTTACAGAACCTAAATGTTTTCAAATAATTTTTTCTTAGAAACTAAATAATATATTTCAAATGTTGATTAGTTTGATTATATTACAAAAATGAATAATATAATTTCTAAAAACTTACCTTTAAAAAAAGGTAAAAAGAGACGCCCAGTTAACGGCATGCCAGTAACAAAAATTACTCTTGTAGACCCTATGAGTAGTTGCAAACTCATGTAGATTCCTATAAAAAATTAATTATTACAAACCCATGTAGAATTCTATGAAAAATTAATAATTGCTAACCCATGTAGAATTCTATGCAAAATAAACCATTGTAAACTCATGTAGAATTGTTAAAAAATTATCCATTGTAAACCTATGCAGAATCTTACTACAAAAGTAATGATATCAAAAAAAAATTTCACCCAGTGAAAGGAGAAACTTGTACCAGTGGAAAATTAAAATTGCAAACATATGTATATAGGGTTGTATAATGAGCTAGTAAATTAATATAAAATAAAAATAATAAAATTTTAGTTAAAAAAACTTGACGCGCTGCCAAATTTCAAAATTACAATGCCTTATCAATGCAAAAGATTTCCGGATGGAAGCCGCGTGGTTTAACAGCGTAATGCCGACGTTTCGCAAACGTTGCAGTTTGCATCTTCAGGGCTGAGAGCTCCGATATTGAACTTTCTTGGGTTGTGGTCCTTATATATATTATGAGAGGTTTTTCATTTACGGAAAAGTATTCCGTAATGACGCCGCCTAGTGGTGTGTGTGTATATTAAGGGCAGTGTGCCAAATAGGGTTTGTTTGATAACCTTTGTCGCGGTTGAGGTTGTCGGAATGTTTCAGAATTTCTAGAGCTTCAGGATGTTTTCTGGCGAAATAGCTTTGCGAGGGGGCTAGTCTGGTTGCTTTGTCGTATTGTACTGAGTGTCCCGTCACCATCCAATGTTCTGCCAAGGCTGATTGACTAAAATGGCAGTACCTGGAACTCCGTTGGTGTTCCTTAATTCGTGTACTGATCTTTCTCCCAGTTTCGCCTATGTACACTTTTCCGCAGGAGCAAGGAATCCTGTATACACCTGGTGTTTCTAAGTGTGGTCTCCGGTCCTTGGGATTAGGAAGTAGTTGCGCAATCTTATTTTGAGGTTTGGAAATTACTTTGATATTGTGTTTACCCAGAATCCTGCTAATGCGTTCTGTTGTACCCTGAAGATACGGAAGGATTGTCCATTTTTTATCTTGTTTATCTTCTTCTTCTTTTTTACTTGATGCACTCATATTTGTAGAACTGGAGATTTTATTTTTCAGCCTTTCAGTTGTTCGATGGATGTCTTTGGTGTTGTACCCATTCTTGGTCAAGACTTGGAAGAAATTATCAGCCAAGTTGAAACAGCTATCTTCCACCTTCCCGCTGAAACAAGCAACGATATTAGAAATCGAATTACTAACGTTCTTCACAAAGCCAAACTTCCCAGTCAAAATATAAGCAGGAAAGAACGACTAGCACTTTGTAGTCTCAAACAAAATAGTAAGATTATTGTTCTGCCGGCAGACAAGGGAAAAAGATATAAAAAAACGAAGAAAATAATTACAAAAGTTATAATTTATGTTATATTTTTGTTCTTAATTAAATCTTTCTTATTTTTAATTTCTGATCTTTAATATTCAATTTTTAATAGAATTTAACATTGCTTGTTGCGCAATGTAGACTGCAGTTAATACTGCGGTATACTATATAAATGCTACGAATTATTTCTATCTTTGTATATTCTATGAAGATTGAAAATATTATAAAATGTTTCAAAACATTGTAATCACAGCCATAGTCGTTGGTTTATTAATTTACCATTCAAAATAGCCGTTCCATAAAACAAAGATCGAGCCGCTGTCGCGTCGTTGCCAAACAGAGATATCAGATTCGATAGTAGGTATTCGGCAACATCTTTGTCGGCGAGATCTTTGAGTCTGCACGTTGTGACGGCCTGTCTATTTTCGAATTTTTATTTTTTCAGTATAATTATTGCGCGCTATTCATATTCTCGTAGAAATAAGACTATTAACAATCATTATTGTTAGAAAGAATAATCTCAATTCAAATTAAGCGGTATGAGATGTTAATATTTTCATGTAGAGCGCGCAGGTATAAGGTCGAACGTGTGTGTTATGATACCTTATACTATATATATATCTTTTTTGGGTTCAGAATGATTTAGCCGTTTCTCTCACTGGACCGATCGCCTTTTCGTGCGCAGCAGTCTTATAGAAAGCAGTCTTATACATATAGAAAGTATTATACATTTAATGTTTATCTTGTTAAAGCATTCACATATGTAAAACTAATTAGATGTATTATTTCTCTTCTATAACAAAATATAAGTGTGTGCTTCACATGCTCTGTCTCTCTCTCTGAGTAAAATTTCAACAGGTTATGGGCCCAGAGCCACGTGTTGAGCACACAGTAAAGTTCTTTATAAGATAAAGTGCAAATAAGAAACATTAAAATTGACTGCCTGGTGAACATTTAAAATGAGTGCCATATCAAATACTGTGGGAGCGTTGGAAAGTATCGATAAGTTGAAGGATGCCAACGGATATCCCCTCTGGAAATTCCAGATAGAAATACACATAGAAGCGGCAGAACTTCTGGAGGTCACTCAACAACAACCAACACCAGCACAGCGACAATTAGCGGAATGGAAGAAAAAAGATGCCAAAGCAAAGCGGATAATTGTAAGCACTTTAGACAAGCATTCATTGATACACATAGTAACATGTACGACAAGTCATGAAATGTGGCAAAAATTAAAAGATATTTATGAAAGAGATTCACAGCACCAGAAATGCGCTCTGATGCAGGAATTTTTCGAATATAAAAAAGGAAGTGATTCGGACATGGCCACGTACATAACCGAGTTGAAAAATCTAGCTTTTAAACTTAAGAGCTTAGGAGAAGAAATAAACGATACAATGATTATTTCCAAATATTAACAGCCCTGCCGGAGAATTACAGATTTTTTGTCAGCGCATGGGAGTCAACACCATCAACAGAGCGAACAATAGTGAACTTAACAGCGAGACTTTTAGCGGAAGAAGCAAGGAATCGATCGGATCAAGAGGGAGCCGTGGCATTCAAGACTGAAGAAAGAAAATGTTACAAATGTAATACGAGAGGTCACTTGGCGCACGTATGTAAAAAGGTAGATGCTACTAAAAGAGGTAATGACATAAAATGTTTTAATTGTCATAAAACTGGACATGTAGCGAAAGACTGCAAAAAAGGTTTCTCAAAATCTTGTAAAATATGTAAAAAGTCAAATCACTCAGAAAAGGACTGTTTTTTTTAGAAGAAAAAAAGGTGACTCAGCAACAGAAGAAAGTAATAAAGTAGCTTTCTTGACAAGCCATGGAGAAATTGACGATTGGATTGTCGACTCAGGATCAACATCTCACATGACGAATGACCTAGCCCGACTGAAAGAAGGACGATCAACAAAAACAAAAGTTGGGGTGGCGAGCAAGGAAGGAACCATGATAGCAAAGAAAACTGGAAAGGTTGACCTTGGAAACTGTGAGTTAAACAATGTATTATACATTCCAAATTTAAGAAAAAATCTTTTGTCCGTAAATGCAATAACGCAAAAAGGAGGAAAAGTAGAATTCTATAAGGACGCAGTAATAATCAGTAAAAATAAAAATACTATCTTCAAAGGAAAAAGAAATAGAGCGGGCTTATATGTTATACAGAACGATAAAAGCAAAGAAAAGGCGATGATGACTGTAAAAAACCCTCCAGTTAAAACGTGGCACGAAAGATTAGGCCATTTAGGTATTAATAATATGATTAAATTACTTAATCTGTCCGAGGGAATCGAGTTAACAAAAAGTGAGATCGAAAAACAGCTCTCAATTTGTGAGATATGCATACAAGCGAACCAAACTAGGATGCCCTTCGGAGATCAAAGGAAAAGAGCTACACGACCAATGGAGATCATTCATACGGACGTTTGTGGACCTATTACTCCAGAGACATGGGACCAGAATAGGTATTTTGTCACTTTCTTAGATGACTACACCAATTATGTAACTGTTCATTTAATGACTGAAAAAGGTGAAATATTTACAAAATTAAGAGAATTCCTGACGCAAGCTGAAGTAAAATGGAATACGAAAACTGTTGAGATCCGCTGTGATAATGGCAAGGATTATTCTAACAAAACATTGGAGATTTGGTGTAAAACTAAAGGTATATCTATAAATTTCGCCCCACCTTATACCCCTCAACTAAATGGAAAGGCTGAAAGATTAAACAGAACATTAATCGAGAAGGTTAGAGCGATGATCGCAGGGACAGAAGAAAACAAAATATTATGGGGAGAAGCAGTGAGAGTTGCCGCCTATGTACAAAATAGAAGCCCAACAAAAACAAATATAAAAACAGCATATGAGATGTGGAATGGTAAGAAGCCAAACTTGAAAAATCTAAGAATCTTTGGCTGTAAAGCTTATACGAAACAGTTAGGACAACTTAGAAAATTAGATAACAGAAGTAAAATTATGAAGTTTGTTGGCTACACGCAGACAGGATATCGACTCTGGGATCCTGTAAAAAGAAAAATAATTGCTTCGCGAGAAGTACATTTCAATGAAAATGAGAGTGATTATGTAATTAAAGAAAACAGTAAAAGAATTCTGGCGAGAGGAAACAAGGATAAAATTTGCATACAACATGAAGACAACTCAGATGAAGATGAAGAGAGTTTAAACGATGATGAACAGGATATTGAAAACATTCAGGAAAATAACGAAGAAAATTCTGAAGAAGATCAAGAAGAAGAAAATGTAACAATAATAGAGAACAATGATGTCATATTACAAGAGTCAACAGAAAATACACCAAGAAGATCTCAGAGGACTAAAAAATTCCCAGACAGATACAACGATTACGCATTTTTAACATATGAAGAAGTTATAAATAGCAAAGATAAAAAGAAATGGATTAAAGCAATACAAGAAGAAAAAAAATCGTTAAAAGAAAATGAAACCTGGGAATTAGTAAATATAGATGAAGCAAAAGGAAAGAAATGTCTAACAAGTAGATGGGTTTTTCAAATCAAAGAAGAAGGCAAATTTAAAGCAAGACTCGTTGCAAGAGGATGTGAACAAGGAAATAACATAGACTATGAAAAATTGTATAGTCCAGTGGTTAACAGTGCTGCATTAAGAATGTTGTTTGCATTGGCGGCACACTACAATTGGAACTACGTAAAATTTGACATAAAGACAGCTTTTCTCTATGGAGAACTAGAAGAGGATATATTCATGTATTTACCAGAAGGATATGAAAGAGAGAAAAATAAAATCTGCAAACTCAAAAAGGCAATATATGGTCTCAAGCAAGCATCGCACAGCTGGAACAAGAAATTTACAGAGATATTGAAAAAACATAAATTAAAACAATTACTCACTGAAAAATGCATTTTCAAGAGAGATGATAATTCTGCGCTTTTAGCAATTCATGTCGATGATGGTATATTATTTGGCAGAAACCTAAATAATCTCAGGAATCTACTGTCAAAGTTAAAAAATGTTTTTGATATAATTATTAATGAGAATCCAAGTTCTTTTTTAGGATTAGGATTGAAAGGCAGGAAAATGGCATAAAACTTAATCAGCAGAACTACTCCGAAAAAGTCTTGGAAATATATGGAATGGACAATGCGAATCCAGTGGATACACCCATGCTGGCCAACAAAGAGATCAATGATGAAGGAAGAAGGACGAAGTCTTTCCCATTCAGAGAAGCAGTAGGAAGCCTTCTATATCTCACTGCTAAAACAAGGCCAGATCTAAGCTACGCAGTAACGTACAATAGCAGAAATACACAAAATCCTTCCGATATAGATATCACGAATGTAAAAAGAATTCTAAGATATTTACATGGAACTAAGCATTTAGGAATAGCGTACAATAATAAGAATAATGTTAAAACACTCAAGGTTATTGCGATGCAGACTATGCAGGAGATGTAAAAAGTAGAAAAAGCACATCTGGATATGTAATAGAATTTTGCGGAGGACCTATAAGCTGGGCATCGCGTAAACAGCCCATTGTTGCACTATCGAGTACGGAAGCAGAATTTATCTCAGCTGCTGATTGTTGTAAAGAGCTGCTATATTTGAAAAGTTTGTTAGAAGAACTCATTGATAAAACTATAAATGTAGAAATGTGTATAGACAATCAAAGTGCAATTAAGCTTATTAAAACGGGCAATTTTAATCGTAGGTCAAAACACATAGATGTGCGATTTCATTTTATAAGCGAAAAGGTTAAAGAAAATAGTATTAATATTGTAAGAAATATATGCGTCCGGCGGAACTCGTCATATTGCGTACCATGCGTCTTACACAGCTGTTTATTGCGTGCGCATCCGAGCAGGCGCAACACAGGAGCGTAACAGGAGTGGGGCACTGTTCGAAGACCCTGCTCCAAAAAGACCGGCGACTAACTGTCACTCTCTTTTGAGAAGCGCTATAATACGGTTGGAAAAATTATACGTGCGGGAGTCTTTTGGTCTGTACTTGGAGAATAAATTGATTGCGAGTCTTTTCTTATACTTTAATTTCGAGTGTTCGAGTTATCTTTATTTCAAACATACCATCCTACCTGACAATTGTAAAAAGAAGAACGAGAAGAACATCTTTCACATTATCCTTTCAACTTCAGAAGTGGGATACTGCTCAGGCTTCACAGGAGAATCAGAAGCAGAGGTCATCTGGGACAAAGAAAATAATAAAAAAAAAAAGTTGTTAAAACACAGGTAACGGCTTTTTTAAAATTTAACGGTAAAAGGTTCTACTGCATGGTGAAAACTCGAGCTCGCGGTAAAATGGAACGAGCACAATTGGAAAATCTCTCTCACGAGGAGCTGAGATTAGAGGCAGCGAAGTATCGGTTGCCAATCTCGGGAAATCGGAACTCGCTCATCGACGTGATCATGACACATCTGGAGACTCATGGGCCGGTCGAGGAGATGATGCAGCTGGCCTCTCCGAGACCGACGACGTCGGGTGCGGTTCCGAAGATCACGAAGGCCTCGCAGCAACGGAGAGACTCCCAGGAATCGGCGGACGTCTTAAAACAGATGCTGGTGGCAATGCAGAAGCAGCACGAGCAAATGGGAGCAGCGATGCAGCTGCAACACGAAACGTTAGGGCAAATACTCCATTTGCTAACCGACCAGAGGGAGGCGAGATCAGCGCAAACACAGGTAGGCACGGCGAGGGAGGTTGAGCGAGATACTTCACCTCGGGTGTCCCCGTCGGAGGAAGCAGGACGGCGCTCGACGGAGTCGTGGTCGTCAGGATCGGCGGTGCAGGCGTTGGCCCATCAAATCCCGGAGTTCGGTGGCACGGAGGACGACAACGTCCACTCCTGGGTCCGGAGAGTGGACAAAGTTGCTCAGGTCCACGGAGCGACAGACGGAGCGACATTGCTGGCCGCATCGAGCAAGCTGACCAAGTCGGCCAGGAGATGGTTTGACGTCCAGGGGGATCTGGCCGTTGAATCCTGGGTCGGCCTGAGGTCGGAGTTGCTAAAAATATTTGATAGGAAAATTCCGTTTTATAGGGCAATGCAGAAAATTGAGGCAAGGAAGTGGACTTCCAATAAGGAATCCTTCGATGATTACGCCATCGATAAGCTGGCGCTGATGCACCAAGTCGACCTACCTGATCGGGACAGGATCCAGTTGCTGGTGAGCGGAATAATGCCGACATCACTCAGAGCGACGGCACTGGCAGTATCCGACGACACTCTGGAAGGCTTCTTGGCGCGGATGCGGACGATTACCCAGGGCACCTCGGACTGGGAAAGGAAGCCGTCGTCCCAAGGGCAGCCGCAGAAGCCGAAGGATGGAGCCTGCCGGAACTGCGGAAAGAAAGGTCATACTTACAAAGAGTGCAGAAATGAGGTATCGTGCTTTTATTGTAAAGAGAAAGGGCATAGGCGATTTGACTGCCCGATCTTGAAAAAGAAAGAGTCCAAGACTCCCGGGCGCACACCGAATTCCTCTGGAATAGCGGCGGCGAGCGTGTCAGCGGATATACAGGCGTCCGATAGCGTCGCGGTAGTACAGGCGGAGCGTACATTGTTGTCCGTCACCGATCCGTTCGTTAAGATCAACTTCCTAGAAAACGGAGAATGTAATTTGACAGCGTTAATCGATACGGGTAGTCCGGTGTCATTTATAAAAAATAGTATTTTCGAGAAATTTATACAACCGGGAAATAAGTTGATGAAAATTAAGAGTCCGCTGAGAAACTTAACAAACGAGCCGTTAAATATATTAGGAATTTACAAAAGTCGCATAGGAATACAATGTCTAAAAAATAAAATAATTTCGGTGAATTTATATGTTCTCGATTCGAACACGTTTCAAGGAGACCTAATATTAGGGCGCGAGTTCATTATCGAAGAAAAACTTACTTTTGTTTATGAGCCAGGCGCGAAGGGTGACCGAGATAAGGCGAATCTGTTTTCGTATTTACCGCTGTGTATTGATAGCGACGAAAATAATCTGGAAAACATAATTAAACAACAAAATATAGACTTTGACATAGAAGCAAAGGATCGGTTAAGTAAACTTGTTTGTCGAATAAGAGACAAAAATATTATACCTGTTGAGGACGAAAACACCGTCCAAGTGCAATTAAAAGACCCGTCGATTTATGCTTTTGCGCCGAGGCGTTTTGCAAACGCGGAGCGAGCGGAACTCAGAAAGATCACCGACGATCTGCTGGAACGGGGAATAATCCAGCCCAGCGTTTCCCCGTACTGCGCTCGAGTAGTTCCTATAAGGAAAAAGAACGGGCAATTACGGTTATGCGTGGATTTGAGACCTTTAAATAGTCGCGTAATAAAACAGAAATATCCGTTCCCAATAATAGAAGATTGTCTCGCGAAACTAGGTAATAAAAAAGTATTTACTTTGTTAGATCTTAAAGACAGCTTTTACCAGATTAGAGTTCATAAGGATTCAACAAAGTACTTTTCTTTCGCCACGCCAGATGGGCAATTTGAATATACGCGTTTACCTTTCGGTTATTCGGAATCACCCGCGGAATTCCAGAAAAGGTTGATACGGATCCTTAACCCGTTGATTCGTGCAGACAAGATCCTGGTTTACATCGATGATGTTCTGATTCCTTCTGAATCTGTTGAGGAAAATCTGGAAATTTTAGAGAAAGTATTATTAATTCTGAAAAGTTACGATTTTCAACTGAATTATGCAAAATGTAAATTTTTAAGGTCAGAGATAGAATTCCTAGGATACAGAATTTCAGGGTCGGGAATTACTCTTAGCCCGCGGCACACGGAGGCTATAAAAATTACAATCCTCCGAAGGACAGACTTCAATTACAAAGATTTTTAGGCCTTACAAATTATTTTAGAAAATTCATCAGGGATTATTCGATTAAAATTAGACCATTACAAAATTTGATGAGGAAAAACGTGCCGTATCTTTTCGATAATTCGTGCATAGAGGCGTTTAAGTTATTAAAGAATGAACTGACCTCACCTCCGGTGTTGAGTCTGTATAATCCCTCCGCAGAGACTCAGCTTCATACAGATGCGTGCAGTCTAGGGTACGGGGCGATTCTGTTGCAGCGGCAGCAGGAGGGGAAATGGTCCCCAGTAGCGTACTTTAGTTCAGGCACGAATGCGGCTGAAAAAAATTACCATAGTTATGAATTAGAAATGTTAGCAATAGTGCGTGCAATAGAAAGATTCCACGTGTATTTGTACGGGATAGATTTTGCAGTCATTACAGACTGTAATGCAATCGTGTACGCTATCAATAAGGCAAATCTAAATCCTCGAATAGCCAGATGGACTTTGGCTCTGCAAAATTATACCTTTAGTATAATGCACCGCCCAGGAAGTCGCATGGCTCACGTTGATGCCCTCAGCAGATGCGTGGCCCATGTGGACGAGCTCCCGTTGGAAAGGCGCTTAGAATTTTTACAGCTGACAGACCCTAGAATATTAGAAATTAGTCAGAGCTTAGAGCTAGAGGATAGTGAAAAATTTGCCTTAAGTGACGGCTTAGTTTACAGAAAAATAGATGACAGATTAAAATTTGTGGTACCCGAGTCAATGGTGACGAACATGTTGCGAGTCCACCACGACGAATTGGCTCATTGCGGTGCTGAGAAAACGTTCCGAAGCATTAGTCAAAATTTTTGGTTTCCGACCATGAGAAAACGAATATATGAATACGTGAATAACTGTCTCACTTGCATTATGTCGAATAGCTCTCCGAATCGTTTGGAGGGGGAAACACAGCTGTACCCTTTACCCACGTTGCCACTTGATGTACTGCATGGTGACCACTTTGGTCCGCTTCAAGAAACTGCGGATAATTTCAAACACATTTTAGTTGTGATAGATGCATTTTCGCGATTTACATGGTTATTCCCTACAAAATCTACAGGGACTAAAGAAGCACTACATTGCATCGACAACATTATATCTGTGTTTGGAAATCCACTAGAAATAGTTTCGGATAGAGGCACAGCGTTTACGTCAAAAGAATTCTTAGAAGTCATGAAAGAGAAAAACATCAAGCATAGAAAGGTTGCGGTGGCGGCCCCGTGGGCAAACGGTATGGTTGAGAGGGTGAATCGTTTCATCAAATCGTCCCTCACTAAATTAATAGAGACACCGAGTGGATGGAAAGAGCGTCTAAATGATATGCAATACGTGCTCAATAATACATACCATTCCGCAATCAAGGCTACACCGGCAAAGATCATGTTTGGCTTCGATCAACGTAGCCACGGCGATAGCTCCCTAGCCAGGTTTACGCAAGCTCTTGTAGATATCGATGCGAACCTTGAAAAAGAAAGGGATATTAGCAGGGAAAATGCGTTGCGAGCGACTGAGGTAGTAAGGGATTACAATAAAATGTACCGAGACAAGCACTGTAAGAAACCAACGATATATAAAATTGGAGATCGTATTCTAATTAGGGACGACCGAAATAAAGTTGGAATTAATTCAAAGTTGAAACCTAATTACAAAGGACCTTACCAGGTTGCGAAGGTCCTCGGGAACCATAGATACGTGATCCAAGATATTCCAGGTTTTAACATTAAGCAAAAACCCTTAGATACAATACTGTCTGTCGATCGAATAAAACCGTGGATCAAGGCGCCGAAGAAACCTGAAAATTAATTCATAGTTGTAAATAGAATATTTGTATTAGATTTAAGTCGTAGTTAGAATAGTAAACGAACAAAAAAAAAAAAAAAGGGGAAAAGAATGTATCACGATAACCTCAACGCGATATATGTATAAAGTGCTAGCGGCGGATTAGTAATGATCATAGTTATCTAACGACTTACCGATTTGTACGTAATGTAGTTAACTTCGAGACGAAGTTCAAATCAGGCTGGCCGAGTTGTAAGAAATATATGCGTCCGGCGGAACTCGTCATATTGCGTACCATGCGTCTTACACAGCTGTTTATTGCGTGCGCATCCGAGCAGGCGCAACACAGGAGCGTAACAGGAGTGGGGCACTGTTCGAAGACCCTGCTCCAAAAAGACCGGCGACTAACTGTCACTCTCTTTTGAGAAGCGCTATAATACGGTTGGAAAAATTATACGTGCGGGAGTCTTTTGGTCTGTACTTGGAGAATAAATTGATTGCGAGTCTTTTCTTATACTTTAATTTCGAGTGTTCGAGTTATCTTTATTTCAAACATACCATCCTACCTGACAATTGTAAAAAGAAGAACGAGAAGAACATCTTTCACATTATCCTTTCAATATTGTTACTGTAATACTAGCGATCAAATTGCAGACATATTTACAAAGCCGCTAAGGGCAATCAAATTTAAAAGATTCAGAGACATATAATTCATTAGAAAGGTATAACTAATAAGACAGCTGTATTAGCCATGAACTGAATAATTTTTTTTAATATATCATTTATATTATCTAATATTTTGTTTATTGAAGTAATTGAGATTAAGAGGGAATGTTAGAAAGAATAATCTCAATTCAAATTAAGCGGTATGAGATGTTAATATTTTCATGTAGAGCGCGCAGGTATAAGGTCGAACGTGTGTGTTATGATACCTTATACTATATATATATCTTTTTTGGGTTCAGAATGATTTAGCCGTTTCTCTCACTGGACCGATCGCCTTTTCGTGCGCAGCAGTCTTATAGAAAGCAGTCTTATACATATAGAAAGTATTATACATTTAATGTTTATCTTGTTAAAGCATTCACATATGTAAAACTAATTAGATGTATTATTTCTCTTCTATAACAAAATATAAGTGTGTGCTTCACATGCTCTGTCTCTCTCTCTGAGTAAAATTTCAACAATTATATTTTACTAATTGCTCTAATCTGACTATTTTAGTATTAATAGCTAAAATCGCCAGATCTGGGGTCCTCTACCTAGAAACCAAACATCTCTATCTAGTCCTAACCACGCGACTAAATCTAGTGACTTTACATGCGATCAATCAGGCACCATCTAGGGACCCCAGAGACAGCATGTAACTAGCGGAACTAACCAGATATTCCTTTACAGGAGCGCTTATCGATTGTGACGTCCCGTCTATGTTAAAATTTTTATTTTTCAATATAACTATTGCGCGCTATTCATATTCTCATAGAATAAGACTATTAACAATCATTATATCCTATTAATTGCTCTAATTTAACTATTTTTAGTATTAATAGCTAAAATCGCCAGATCTGGAGTCTTCTACCTAGAAACCAAACATCTCTATCTAGTCCTAACCACGCGACCAATCAGGCACCATCTAGGGACCCCAGAGACAGCATGTAACTAGCGAAACTAACCAAATATTTCTTTACAGAAACACTTATTGATGCATCTATTACAATAACGTTAAATAATAAATAATAGATATGATAAATATTAATATAATTAGGCACAAGAGATAAGGACTAAAAATGTTAAACCACTCCCTCCTAAAGTAAATTACAATACAACGCGATGTATTATTAATTCTTAAACAACCTATTCTTTAGTCGGATTTACAGAATCCTAATCACATCAAATTTATATGATAACTTAAAAAGAAACACTAATTCTTTCAAAATTCATACCTAAAACAAAACACGATTCTGTAAGTACGACTAAGAATTACCCGAGTACACATTTGAATATGTAAACCTTTTTTAGTTATCTCGCGCGTTACGTTTGGAAATACGATAAGAGTCGGGAATTAAATAACGTGAGAGGCATTAATTGTAATTAACTGATAATATATTCTTCGAGGAACACAGTCTTTTAAAATCGGTACATGAATATAAGATCGTTCGGATTTATAATGTGCGTCCGTACGCGGCGACTGTCAAGAACGGAATCTCTCGCATATAAAAATGATTTTCCTATCTCTTGCCTCAAAACGCCCTTCCGTAGGCTTCGAGAGGCTTCGCGAATTTTCTATATGTTTTACTTGCTTTGTTTCTGTACTACTCGTCTTTCGTTTTGTCTGTTATATTTTATTTATGTTTATTTGTGTCTTTGTCCTTTTCGTATGTGTGAGTGTCCGTATTCGTATGCGTGTTTTCCTTGTTAATTTCAGGGAAGTATGTGATGATGTAATCGCCACACTACTCTCCTGCCAGTGCTATACCGATAGCACGATATCGCCCGAATATTGCGCTGTTTCCGCGATAATTTCTTCGATGGCAGACCGAGACGAATGTTAAATTTTGCTCGTCGTTATGATGCATTCGAAGCGCAAAAACAAGAATAAATATGACGCAACAATAATACAATAATAATAAATAACAATGATATAATAATAAAATGCTATCCTAACGCACGTCGCTCTCGGTCTGAGACTCGTCAATTTAATTTTGCAAAAATAAAACGCGGAATAGATATACAAGGTTTCTGCTGTGTGTCGAATTCGTTTTTTTCGTTGCGTTCCGCGGCTTGTGTCGATCATGCTAAAAAATTTTTCAACGAGAACAAAAATCAAAGAAAATTGAAATCGCGAGAAATATGTCTTATTTTTTTAAATTTTTATTTTTTGCGGCGATTTCTCACGGCTTCGCATACTGCGCATCCTGGTTCCTCGGCGTCACAGGCCCGCCTGGAATCGACTCGGGAATCGGACCCTTCTCCCCGCTCGCGTCGTTCTCTTGCTCTCTCGGGGCAGCGGCCTCGCGTCCTCTCGTGCGCCTCGCCGCTCGACCTCGGTGTCCTGGTCTCGCGCCGTCCGTCCGTCGACCGCACCCTCTCGGCTCCGTGTCGCCGACTCTGCCGAGCTGCTATCTTCTGTTTCGGACTGTAAAATATAAGCGGGTTTTAGCCTGTCTATTGAGACAGTTTTCTCCTTGCCGTGCATACGCACGACAAAGACTTTGTCGCCTCGGCTGACCACTGCGTACGGCCCCTCGTACGGCGCCTGCAGCATCTTTTTGGGCCCCTCGCGTCGCACGAACACCTGTTCGGCCGTCGCCAGGTCCTTTTAGATAAATGGCCGTCGCTCCCCGTGTCGGGTACCGTCCACCGGTCGCAGCTTCTCAAATTGCTCACGCAGCGTCCTTGCAAAGTCGGCAGCGTCGTCCTCGTTGTCCGTAGGCTGTCGGCCCAGAAATTGCCCCGGGATCCTCAGCGTCTGGCCGTACACCAGCTCCGCTGCGGTCGCCTGCAGGTCGTCTCTCCACGCTGCTCGGATCCCGAGCAGCACCGTTGGCAGTACCTCTGTCCAGCGATCTTTCTGCTGACATTTGATGGCCGCTTTGAGCTGGCGATGGAACCGCTCGACCATTCCGTTTGCCTGCGGGTGGTACGCCGACGTCCTCAGCTGCTGCACTCCTGTCAGCTCGCTCAGCCGCCGAAAAAGATGGGACTCGAACTGGCGCCCCTGGTCCGTTGTTATCCGCACGGGCGCCCCGAATCGGCAGATCCATCCTTCGTAGAATGCCCTTGCGACCGTCTCCGCCTCCTGATCTCGAAGTGCGAACGCCTCCGGCCACCGTGTGAAGCGGTCCACGCACGTGAGGCAATATCGCATGCCCTCCGAGACCGGCATCACAATTATGTCCAGGTGGACGTGCTCAACCTGCTGGATGGAACAGCAAATTTTCCCAAGGACGCCGAGACGTGCCGAGAGATCTTCGATCGTTGACAGGGCACGCATGCACGTGCCCAGCTGCGGCAGTCAACGTTCATCGACGGCCAGACGTAGCGCTGCGCCACGAGTCTGCCCGTCGCTTTGATTCCTGGGTGTGCCAGGTTGTGCACCAGGTTAAATGCGGCCCGCCGAAAGGGTCTTGTCAAGAACGACCGCGGTATCGGTGTCGTCGTGTCACAGTATACTTTGATTCCCGTTCCGGGAATCTGCACCTTCTCGAGCCTCAATTCGGTCTCTCGCCTGGTGTAGTCGTCCAGCTCCTTGTCTGTTCTCTGCGACTCCGCCAGTGCAGCGTAGTCCGAGGGAGAATTCAGCTCCTCGACTCAAGACAATGCATCCGCCACGATGTTCTCCTCGTCTGTCACGTGCCGAATGTCGGTGGAAAACTGTCCGATAAAGTCCAAGTGGCGGAACTGGCGCGGCGTGCTCTTCTCCGGTCTTTGTCGAAAGGCGTAGATCAGTGGTTTGTGATCCGTGTAAATCACAAACGCGCGCGCCTCCAGCATGTATCTGAAGTGCTTGACCGCCAGGTAGATAGCCAGCAGTTCTCTGTCGAACGCGCTGTACTTCTCTTCGGCTGGGCTTAGCTTCTTCGAGAAGAAGGCTAACGGCTCCCATCCGTCGCTGCCTCGCTATTGCAAAGTCGCGCCGATGCTCTGCTCCGACGCGTCAGTGAAACAGGGCGAGCTCTACGTCTAACCTGGGGTGTCGCAAGAGCGCGACCTGTGCCAAGCTCTCCTTCGATTCCTCAAATGCTTTCTGCGCTCGCGGCGTCCACGATATTGCCGCTCTTCCCTTGACGTTGCCGTGGAGGAGGTCGTTCAGCGGCGCCAACATCTCGGCGGCTCTCGGTAGAAATCTTCTGTAAAAGTTGAGCATGCCTAGATATCTTCGCAGCTCCTTCGCCGTTCCTGGCTCTCGACACGCGAGGATCGCCTCCACACGTGTCGGCAGTAATCGCGTTCCCCCGTCGGAAACTTCGTATCCGAGGAACTCCACTTTCCGCTGCCCGAACACGCACTTTGCAGGGTTGATCGTCACCCCGTATTCTCGCAGACGCTCAAACACTGCTCTCAGATGGTATCGATGCTCCTTCTCCGATGTCGACGCGACCAGGATGTCATCGACGTACGCGTAGCAGAATTCCAAGCCGCGTAAAACTTCGTCGATAAAACGTTGGAACGTCTGCGCCGCGTTTCTCAGTCCAAATGACATGTACGGAAATTCGTACATGCCAAACGGTGTGGTGATCGCCGTCTTCGGGATGTGCTCCTCCGCCACTGGAATCTGGTGGTACGCCCGCACCAGATCTATTGTCGTAAATAGTTCCTTTCCTCCGAGGGCCTGCGCAAAGTCCTGAATATGACGTACAGGATATCGGTCCGGGATTGTCCTCGCGTTCAGCGCTCTATAGTCGCCGCAAGGTCGCCACTCTTCGCCCTTTTTCGGCACCATGTATAAGGGCGCCGACCAACTACTCTTGGAAGCTCGCGCGATTCCGGCTTCCACCATTCGACGGAACTCCTTCTTTGCGGCTGCAAGTCGATCCAGAGCGAGTCTCCGTGGTCTGCACGCAACAGGCAGTCCCGGCGTCGTCTCAATAACGTGTCGCGTGGCGTGAATTGTTTCTCTCATTTGTCCGCTCGGCCTTGTGATGTCCGCGTATTCTATCAACAACCGGTGGTATGGTGTCTCCCCCGTGATTGTTTTAATCTGTGGTACGTCGCAATGAACACAACGCCCACGTGCGGTCAAAGTCGTCAGCTGGTCGACGAGGCGAGCATTGCGCAAATCCACAAGAAGGCCATAATGCGCAAGAAAATCGGCGCCTATTATCGGCCTTGATACATCCGCGATCACGAATCTCCACGCGAATGCCCGACGCAATCTAAAATTTAATGTCATGTTCTCTGTTCCGTATATAAAAATTGGTGTGCCGTTGGCGGCCGATAACTCATAGGTCAATCTCTGTCGTGGACTTCGAACCATCTTTCGAGAAAACACGCAGAGATCCGCGCCCGTGTCAATTAAAAATTTTGTCTTGGTATTCGCGTCAGTTACAAACAAGCGGCGCGCACTGTGTCCCGGATCGCTCGCTGCCTCTAACGACCTGCTCCTGTGTTTCTCTGCATTTGCATCGAGCAGGGTGGTCTGCACTGTCGTGCTTCCGCTCCAAACTGCCAATGGTACCAGCATACGCCTCTGGCCGGCGGACCACGGCTGCCGGATCGCGCTCGCGGGCGCGAATGCGAACGCGAACGAGGTCGCGAACGACGTCAATCATCCTCTTTGTAACGATTATCTCCGATCGCTTCAATAGACTTACGTATGGCCGTCAATTGTTCCACCATCTCTTGTTGCATGGCCAGCCGCATTTGTGCCAGTCGCACCTCCAATCTGGCATCCAAGGCCCCGGGATCGTTTGCGCCTTGCGTCTGCGATGGCACGAATTTCGTCGCCTCGGCCACTTGAAATGACGGTGTTCGGGTCGCCTCGACAATCGCATCCGCGATATCTGCTAGTTGTTCGAGCGTATCAGCCGTGCGCGTTACCAGGTGCGGCTGAATGTAAGTTGGCAATCGGCTCAGCCAGATCGTCCGCAAGACGGGGTCGCCAACCACGTTTCCGGCGAGGCCGCGGAGGTGTCTCAAAAATTGCGATGGCTTGCGATCTCCAATTTCTTCATATTCCAGGAGCCTCCGGGTCTTATTCTCCTGTGACAGACTTAGACGCTTGACCAATTCTGTCTTCAGCGTTTCGTACGTGTGCTCCGCAGGCGGGTTCATGATGATGTCACGCACCTCGGCAGTGTAATTCGGTCCGATGGATGTTAGTGCGTATCCGAATTTCGTAGCGTCGACCGTGATTCCGGCAGCTTGAAAACTCCGGTCGACGATGTTAAACCAAAGCTCCGGATCCGACGGCGTAAACTCTGGCATTTGCATGCCAACACGGTTTATCTCGGGGGCGGTTAAAAAAATCCCGGCGGCTGCTCCAACCTGGCCGCCTGCATCGCAATCGGGGCCGCCTGCATCGCGATCGGGGCTGCCTGCTGCATTTGCACTCGCGGCTGCTCGAATGCCCGCGCCTCTGTCTCCACGCGCGAACCGGCCATTTGTCGTCTCGCGTCACAAGCATGTCGAGTCGTTTTTTTTTTTTACACACTGCTGGTCACTCTCACTCTCGTGTACAATCCGACGTCTCACTCGTCAAAATGTAAAACAAAAATGCACTGCTCTCTCACGCAAACACACAAAAAACCGCGAATTCCCGCTCGTTCGCGATCACGTCGGGACGTCACCACTTTAGTTATCTCGCGCGTTACGTTTGGAAATACGATAAGAGTCGGGAATTAAATAACGTGAGAGGCATTAATTGTAATTAACTGATAATATATTCTTCGAGGAACACAGTCTTTTAAAATCGGTACATTAATATAAGATCGTTCGGATTTATAATGTGCGTCCGTACGCGGCGACTGTCAAGAACGGAATCTCTCGCATATAAAAATGATTTTCCTATCTCTTGCCTCAAAACGCCCTTCTATAGGCTTCAAAAGGCTTCGCGAATTTTCTATATGTTTTACTTGCTTTGCTTTTGTACTACTCGTCTTTCGTCTCGTCTGTTATATTTTATTTATGTTTATTTGTGTCTTTGTTCTTTTTGTATGTGTGAGTGTCCGTATTCGTATGCGTGTTTTCCTTGTTAATTTCAGGGAAGTATGTGACAATGTAATCGCCACACTTTCAATATTGTATTAATGATTTATGGATCCATAAATAATTATAGACCTTTTTATTAACTATAAATATCATACATTATAAATGAAGTATGCCATAATTAACTATAAACATCATATATTATAAATGAAGGATGCCATAATTGATTGATCAATATGCGTAAAAAGGCCAAACAAAGAGCGATAAATGTACTACTAGACATCAGTATTCGTAGAGATCGACTTGGCGACACGATAGCTTGTAATTTGACCCTGTATGACCCCCCTGCCGCATTCCTGAACTTTAGGAAAGAAGCCAATGCCCTACGCCGAACTAAAGATTTAGAAAGCAAAATATTACCCTTATCATTATAAGCTACAACTCAAACTATCAAAAGCTAGCCCTTGAATCCTTTACAGAATAACGTTGCACGTTCTTTTTCAACAATAAAACCTCTCAATTATTATCATAATGAGTACTTAAGAAATTACAATCTTTACATTTCGTAATGGCTTCTAGGGCACGCAATTTAACCCTTTAGTACAAATTATAATGATAAATATTAACGTTTTATAAATAAGCAATTTGGAAACTATTGTAAAAATTCCCATTCGTCTATTAAGAATCATAATTATACTGCGCCAACGAACCATCTTAGCTGATGGACCACCCTTCGCCCCTACTTCGATGACGCAAACCGAATTCCTACGGAGCCATAAACCTGTCAAAATCTAAGCACGCCTGGTCCTCCAAAGGGTATATAAACCGCGGATTTTGCGTCCTGTGGGCACTTCGTGTCAACTTCTAGAATAGAGCATTTCGTATTACTATTTTCCAAATTTTACACTTAGCCGATTACGGTTAATCTAGTTTTCGTGTCAATTAGTACTTAGATTTTTCTGCAATTCTTATGTTAGTTATCATTCTAGTTAATTCATCTGATAGTTTAAATTCGCAAACTCTAAATTGTACAATTATAAGTTACAGACTTAGAAATTGTTCATAAATAAAGGAATAAAGAACTAAAATTAATATAAAAACAGTGCACGTCTGTTCTTTCAACTCCATCCTGAGACCGAGGTACCCAGGAGGACGACAGCCCAGGCATAGTCACCAGGAACAACAGAGCAGATTTACATCTCCGTGCGGAATCAAGTGAGAACTAATCTTTTTAACCCTCGATTCAATTTTATAATTTCCTAACAACTAATTAATTAATATTATAAGGATGAACATACCCTTGTAAATGGACAACCGGAAACGCAACCTTGTATGTAAGAAGAAGCGTACACGCCCTTCAATAATTAAGAGATATAGATTAATCGCGACTACTTTATCAAATTCTCAAGAGAGATTATCCAGAGATAAACAATTACCTGAGTCTCAAAAGGTAATCTCTCCTGACCTACCTCAAAGTTCCGGATCAATTGACAATTTTCAACATAAAATAGAACCTTTATCAGCAATCCCCCTTGAGAAGATTGATAATATAATCAACAAATTAATAGAATCGTCTAAGGATTTCTATCAAGATCCACCTTTCGAGGAATATAATTTTCCTGCAGTCTCCTTACCAGAATTAGTAAGCTCAGGACCGCTAGAATCTCCTTCTGAAATCGACGACTATCCGACGTATCTAAATCTTTAGTAATCTCAACTCGCGATTATTTACCGATTATTCTAAATGTTCAAATTCTTGATAATAGACTATTACTTTATTTTATTAATAATATATTTTAATTTCATATCTTATAGCCTAAATAGAAAATATTACGATTTTGAATTAATATTAATTTTCCTAGACGATATTATACGTTCCTATAAAACATTCCTTATTCCTAAAATTCCCCAGATCCGAAAAGTCAGTTCCAGCTCTCGGCGCACCCAGGATATAGTCGGTGCATGCAGATTGC